TTTTTTTTTTTTTTTTTTTTTGACTGTGAGGTTGATATATGCTGTAAATAATGAACTTCTAAAAGTTAGTGTTGACATAATGAACTGGACTCTGCAAGTTAATTTTCTAAACCTAACTTGCCTTCAGCTTGACTTACTTGGATTTATGTGCAAACTTTTTTGTTGTTTGATCTTCTCCAGTTTCTTGACATCACGACAATTAAGCCTGGAAGATACTTTATCTGCTGAAGTAAAAAAGTGATTTCAAGTCACAGAAGTGGAATAGTTGAAATCGTTGTCCCTTTCTAGTGTGAAAGAGCTTTCCCGGCCGGCGTAGGCAGAAGTGCCTTAGCGTCAGGATAACGTACGTCGTATATGTTTTAAAAAATTATATATAATAAATACCAATAAATTCTTCACCGGTCTCTCAGATGAAAAAGATTTCCTTTTGAAAGTGATGTAGTAACTTGAGCTGTAATGTTACATAAGCAAAGTTAAGATAGTTTATATATATTGAGAAGTTGAAATTTATTACAGCTGTCAAAGGTATAGCGTTTATATCAGTACAGTTTGATACATGCAGTTTATAGTTGCAACTTTGCTTGTTGTGATGTTTAACGAACGAAGAGTGAAGTACTAATGATAATTAGAAACCTTCTGTTTTTATTTATAGCTGAGATAGCTTTTTACTTGTTTGATTATCAGGAAATTGTGTTTATTTAAAAACTATTGGGTTTTTCCAGGCGCCGATTGGTCATATTTCATATTTATCTTCGTCTACACCACTCTTATTAATTCACTTTAACCTTCCTTTTATCATATGTTGGAATTGTTTCAGTTTAGGACTGAAGAGCATATAATATCATTTTAAACTAAGCAGATTGAGGGGAATGTCAAACTGAAAAAACGTTATTTTTCGTTGTTATTGCTGTCGCTGTTTCTTTACTATTTTCCTTGATATACTTTTTGCGAACACAAAAAATGGCTTGTGCTTACCAAGAAGTTGATATAGTAAGTCCTCCAACACTGTTCTTAATATACTTTTTTTACTTCCGCAATCTTTTAAATTCTATAATGAAAATGTGAGTGACTGTTTTTCATTTTTATTTTTTAGTATCGTTTGTACTACAGGATGTAATTTTCTTTGGGCTTATTTTTGTACCGGCCTTATTTCTTTAGTAATTGTAGTTTTCCTTACTTTTATTGCAGACCGAAGTTTCAAGAGAGGAAGAAATGAAGAATGAAATATCGCACTTAGAGGAAGTGGTAAAGGAACAGGCGAATATGATTGAGGTATTATTTGTATTACTTATTTAAACAATATAATCGTGGTCCTGATGGGGGTCAGTTTTGAAATCATTGTTCCTTTAAATAATATTTATGAATAAGAGGTGGGTGAACAGTACATTGATGTTTGTTTGTTAAATAAGAAAGATATTTTTAAAACAAATCTCACATAAATATTACACAGTTATTGGAAGCAGTTTTCAGCTTCAAAAATTTGTTAGACATCTGTATTTCTTCTAGGATTTGAGAAAGAAATTGGTGGGGAATGCCAGTTTAAATGAAAGTGAAATACTTATTACAAGCAATAAGATTTCATTGCAAGAAGCGCGGATTCTACAGTATACTATTAACGAGCTACGGTTTGGGTTTAATTTTAATTGTCATTTGTTACTTCGAACCCCCTAGTTCCTTTAAAAATTGCTATTTTATATGACTTTAAATCAATTTTCTTATTTTTATAGTTAGTGTTTCAGGGAGTCGGTAGAGAAGGCTAAGGAAGAAACTATTATCTTTAAAGGTCTTCTTGATAACGAAAAGGAACTTTCTCGTTCTCGAGTAATTTTTTTATTATTATTTTTCACCAGTTTTTAGAATCTTTGAAAGTTTTATCAAGGACTCTCTTAAGGATTTTTATGGATGAAGGTAAATTGGAGAGTCATATTTCATGGGAAATAGCATAGATTCCATTAGTGAGTGCTTTTTTTGCTAGTTCATTTTTCATTCAGGGTAAAGAATTGGAAAGAAAGTGTCAAGAATGTGAGACTTTAAGTGAGGAATTGAAAAAAAGCAAAACTCTATTGGAAATGGCCAAGAAATCTGCATCAAATGAATTATGGACTGAGAAGGAACAAGTGCTTCGTAAGCAGTATCAGATACAAGTCACTGAGGGGCAGAGTAGGATTGCAGCATTAAATGCTAAAATTAGATGTGTTAGTTTTAGTTCCTTAATATTATACGCGTAATTTTGAAGCAGCTAAGATACTGGACAGTTTGGTCATTTAATTCCAGTCTTTGACTTATAACTATTTTATATCGTTTACTTATCTGTTTTTTTGAAATTTTTTAAAGAGGTTGCTGAATGCTTCTCAGTTAACGTAGTAGACTTTTTTCTGAAGTTATATAACCTTTTTTTTCCCCGCTTTCTGTAAGGATTTTTTTTTTCTTTTTGCAACTGATTTCATTTTGATTGATCTTCAGCGCTTCTCGGTTTAATTTCACGCTAGTATAATATATAGCTGTTTTTTTTAAAGTTAGCAGTATGCCATTCTGAAGGGCCAAAAAAATCTACACAGCTTTTTTTTTGGTTCAGCCTTTAACCTATTGAGGTTCAGATGCACGATAGGGAGATAGCACGTCGTGAAGAAATTGAGTCTTTGCAAAAGCAGTTGGAAAAAGCTCAAAACGAAGCGGAACTTGCAAAAGAATGTGTTAAAGAACAAAAGGTCTTGGCTAGCAAGGACGCAGAGGTCTGTATAGCTGAAAGTTCTTGCTTTTGATGACAGTTTTTTTTATTTGCCTCGGAAGAATCAAAAGATGTCTTTTAAAAGGAAGGGTTACCAAATTTTTTTGAGGTGACTGCTATTCGTAAGCAGTTAGAGGAAATTGTAAAACAGGAGAAGACTAAGGATGTTGAAAATCGGGATGTAATGGTAACTGCACAATTTGAAAAACTGATTGAAGAATTGAGGCTTCTGAAAGATTCCGCCAACGCTGACACCGTCAGTTTTAATTTTTTTTTAATTTATATTTATAGTTAAATCTTTAAGGTCGTTTATTTTGTATTAATAATTATGTCAGGGTTTACCTTGTGTTCAACTAAATGCAAAAATTTTTTTTAGCAAACAGCACAGCTGCACACGGAGCTGGGGTCTTTAAGGGTTACCAAAGCGTTCTTAGAAAAGCAAGCTGGTGAAGCTGAAGGCAATTTGAAACGTTTAAATGAGGTATTTTTACTTGAGATGTTATTTTAAAATGGATTTTTTTATACTTTATTCAGTAAGTTCTTTCAGCAATTAGCAAAGGAAAAAATTGTGACCGAAGAACAAAAAATACGCATAGCGGAATTAGAGCAGAAACTTGATGAGTGCGAGAAGAATGGCGAAATTACGCATCGATATCTCTTGGAAGAAGTGTCTAAGGTTAAGCAGGCAAAAGCGAAACTCAGGTTTTCACATATGAAGTTTTTTCAAAGTAGCTTACACCATGCAAAAAAGTTAACCTCTAAATAGTTTTTATAAGAACTACTTTTGCTGTGTCGGCTGTGAATCAAATTTTTTACATGTATTATCATTATTATTATCATAATTTTTTATTTATAGGTGTGAATATTTGCAGTTAAGGCGTGAGCACAACAGACTCTTGAGTACACAAGGCGAGCCGGTCAGTTTCCAAAATTAGATGAATGGGACAATTTGACTTTTGTTTTTCAGTATTATTTATTTGAGCAAGTGTTTTACAGTGCTTGGACTTTTTAATTTTATTTTTAAAGCCTTTGGAATCCTCCAATTTGACCATACCAACCACAGATGAATTTGGAAGTTGCACAGAGTGTGCTTTGTTGCGGAAGGAATTGAACGATATGAAAGTTGGTCGGGAAGTAGGATCGCGACCAGTGAAAAGTGATGTAGCAGTTGAAACCACGCCACAGGTTTGTAGTAACAGTCAATTTAAATGACTTTTGGATAGCGGGTGGTTTGTTCGGAAGACTTTTATGAACAATATTAACAGTGCGACACTTTTTCAGGATCAGAGCGTAGATAGAGATCCTGACGTGGAATTAGAAATACAAAAAGAAGTTGTTTCGAGAATGAAGGAAGAAATTGAACGGAAGGACGCGAGTATTGAGCAGCTGTCAAGAACCTTAAGGGTCCTTGATGAACAGTGTGAAAGATTTTTGGTTTGTACTCTTTATACTGATAAATTTCAATTTTTATTATTTGTAGGTCAGTTTTTTTCTTAGTTTCAACTTCTGATGATTGGAGTTACCATCGATGAAATATAGTTGTTAAAACTTTTCACGATCTGCAAGTAACACAAGAGTAAGGGGTCTGTAAAGATTTACTAGCTTTTCATTTGGAAGAACTATTGCCGTAACAGTTTGGTACAGGACGCCAAGGAGGGAAAATGTGAATGGATTGAACATTTATTGTGTTTATTTGTAGACATTGAAAAAGGCTGCTGAAGCTTCCTCTGAAAAGTCTAAGAAGCAAATAATTGCATTGAGACAGGAGCTGGATGATGTAAAACGTGAGCTCGAAAGACGTACACAGGTGGACATAGATATTGATTTGTTGCGGCAAGAGAAGGATCGTTTGGCAAAAAAAGTTGGATACTTAACTGTAAGAGTTGTCGGTTTAGGATTTAGGAAGGTTTTTTCCCTGTCTTCTATTTCTGCCAAACTTTTCTTTCTAGGAGGAACTCCGAGAAACGCACACAGATTACCGGGAAGAACTGGCAGTATTGGCAAGAAAAGTCAGCGAGAAGAAACACAAAGATGATTCAGAGGATGACGTCTATGCTACAAAGGTTGCCCTTCTCAATTTTGCATTTGTAAAGTTTAGAACTGCTTTAACTCTTTTCTGCTTATCTAGTGATTGTTGTTTAGGTAGAGCAGTTGGAAGCCGAAAAGAGGCAGATTGAGACAACTGTGCGCTCTTTAGAGAGGCAGTTGACTCAGCTTAAAGAAGAAACCGGCCAGCGGGCTAGGGAGGTTTGTTGTCGTTAAGTGATGGTTGTGGTTTTTTTGGTGTAGTTCCAGTTCATTACTTCTTTGTTTCGTCTAGGTTTTTTTACTGACTTTTCCTTTTTAAGGTTGACGACGCCTTTTCCACTCGCGCAAAACTCACGGAAGAAAACAACAAACTTCGCGAGGGACTCGCTCTTGCGATTAATAAAGCAGAAAAATATAAGGCAGATGCTGAAACCCATCAAGAGAACCTGAATGCTTTCAAAGAAGAGTTGAAGAAAATTCGTGAAGAAAAGGTGTTGTATCGGTTATGTTGGTAACAGTTTACCTTGTGCCTAAATGATTTTTATGTGTAGTAAATTTGTTTTAAGAGTGACGCTGAAGTTCTGATTGAGCAGCTGAATCAGACTATAGCAGAACGGGAGCGTTTGGTTGCCTACCTTCAAAGTCAAATAAAGATGAAGTCTGCGACAAAATTAAAGAAGTCTTCGTCACATTCTACACTTATGTCGACCAGTGACATTTCTGTTAACGTACTTGTTATTATTTCTTGATTTTTCAAAATTTTTTGGTGCCCGGTTGGAGTGGGTTGCTTTTAGGAAATCAAATCGGACGGAGAAGTTTCAAAGACCAATGCCATTAATGGAGGAGGCGATGACGCAAATAAGGTCGCCTTACTGCGAGACACTTATACGTTTACAGATGATTCTGGTCTATCAAGAACCGACGTTAGGTTAATAATTTCTTTATTTTTTAGTTGCCTTTCTTACGTTGTATCTGCGTTTCCAATTTTTCTTGTTACTGGTTTTTTAAACTTCTTTCCGCATTCACTAAACTTTTCACGTACTTTCTTTGGGAAACAGAGCTTGAATATAAGTATAAAGCAGAACAAACAGTCGTTTTAGTCAACAGACTCGCACGTTTCCGGTTCCTTCTGCGCCTACGCATGTTGGGACGATGAAACACGACATTCCTCATCGCTGGAAAACATATCTCGTTTTAAAACAGGTAATCATTACATTCAGCTGGTCTTGCAAGGTTTTCAACAGTGTGGCATTTAGGGGAGCATGAAATACATGGAAACTGCTTGCCAAAGTTGTTCTGTTTAGTTTATGAACGGACCAGTTATTTGCTTCAAATTCGAACTTGCTTCATAATGTGGACGAGCTTTATCCAAATTAAGCGGTCTTTTGTGCGCCGATTGTCGATTTTAATTGAATATTTTTTAGGCCAAATGTGTTGTTTGCCTGGAAGGCCTTCCGCGAGTGCGACATGCGCTGAAGTGTGCAGGTAGGACTTGATTCTAACTGTTTCAATTCATTATTCTAACTCCCGACACTTCACTTTTATTAGTTCTATTTTTTTGTAAGTCGTGTTGAAGTTACAGAATGTAGTGTCTTGGTTCATCGAGGGTGTGCGGCAGGCATATCCAACACGTGTGGGCTTCCCAGCGCCTGCGCCGATTTTTATTTGGATGCTCAGTGTGTTTCATCCAGTTCAATGTCAGGCTGGATTAAAATATGGAGGTAATTCATCAGTTTTCTGTTTTGTTTGACCAATCCGTTAATTTATTTTCCCATTTTTGCTTCAACTCAACTTTTTACTGGTACTTAAAGGTTGTTTCGTTTAGCTTTTGACTTAGAAACAACTTATTGTTCTTTCGACTATAATTTCACTTATTTTGTGAATGATTAGGTCCGGCGATCGTACTTGTAACAAGTGGCGTAGTGCCTGGGCTACTATGGACGAGCAATGTATTCGTTTTTACGACAATGATAGTGTTCCAAGTGTTAATGGTGGAGGTAGTTTACCAGAAACGTTAATGAGTGCCTTAGCAAAGTCCATTACTTCAATGGAATGCTTATTTGTAATATATGGATAAAGCTTTCCGTACTCCTTTTAAGCTGACGAAATTGAGGCACGTTGCGCTTTACAGGTGCTGCGTTTTTGGAACTCAACTTAAATCACGATCAATGGAGACTTCATATGCAATCTGTGGCAGACATTGGAGTTAAGGGTAATCTATCAAAAGAAAGTTACGCGCTTTTGGTTGAGATTAGGATGGCTGAGTAAGTCCTATCCTACATTTTCCTTAAAATACGTGATTTTGTGTAATAGACCTTGTTGTCAGGCATTTTTGTATTCCGAGGAATTTTATAGCCTTGTTTACTTCCGGGATTTGTTATGCTTAGTTTAGCTACCAGTTCTTTGCCTGAGTGATCTAGTTAGGTGACTAAGTAATTTCCTATGAAGGTTGTTCTTTATCAAATGGTCAGTTGTTGAAATTGTAGAAAAATTCCCAAGTATTTTTTTTGTGAAGCTTAGGCAGAGTGTACGTTTTGTTTGGTAGGTCAAAAGGAAGTTTCTTAAGTCTTTTGCGGTCTGATATTACTATAATTGCATATACCAGTTAGTGCTTACAGTGTCAGTACAGTATTGTTTTTTCTACTCTGTCTCATTTTTTTCTTTTATAGTGATAGCCTTTTTCTGTTGGCTCCGACTCCTCAAGCCAAAGAGCGCTGGGTGCGAGCATTGCAGCGAGCAACGAATAAACGAATGTTCGTTCAACGTCAGCAATCATCTGTCACGGAAGATAGTTCAATGTTGCTTGGACTTGATGCTCCACTTAATCTTTCTATTAATTGTGCTCAGGTAACAAAATCAAACTCGCTTATTTCTTTATCTTTCTTTATTTGGTTGAATGGTTACTTTACAATTGAATTTTAGGTTTTGAATGATTGGCTCTTGATTGGGGCTCAAGAAGGACTGTTTATAACACCACTAAATTCTCCACGTGTTCCTTTTGTCGTCACTGGGTTGACTGCTGTATTCCACGTTAGCATTCGGACTTAGTTCTGCTTACCTGCAACATTAGAGCTAGTAAAAAGCTATGGTTTTTTAGTTTGTAAAACTTTCAGATGGAGTTCCTTCCAGAAATACAGATGCTTATCGCCATTAGTGGAGCTGATCGGCATTTGTATGCGCTACACGCTTCTGATTTTTACAGTAGCTTCAACTCTGATCAGCCAGCTGTGCGGCCTACTCCGATCGGGAATTATTCAGCATGCCATTTGATGGTAGTATTAAGAGATGGTTCCAAAAAAGTCAGGTAACGGTAATTAAGTCATCTTACGGTTGATATACCTGGTTTGAAATCAGTTTCTACACTTGAAAGTACAGACTGTCCAATCTTCAATTACTGAGCAAGGTTCGGTATTTCTGTGAAGATGTAAACTTTTAAGATGGTTGTGTGTGGCAGACCCAGACCAAGTCCATATTCTTCAATTCAGCTCCCGCTTGGGGATTTTCTCACCTTTCAAGGTAATTTATAGTAGGACATTTGAAGGTTTCAGATACTTTTTATAGTCTTTTCCGCAGTTAATTTGTTTCATCTCAAAATTTTTTTGCAGTCGTTGCCTACTGCAGAACCAGCGATGTGTCTTTTGTCTGTGAACGACGGATTTGTGTTTGGTACTGATCAGTTTTACTATGTAAATATAAAAGAGTTGGTTGCTAAACCTCTACAAGTTTCTGGCTGTGCTCCTGACTGGCCATTGGCAGCACTTTTAATAAACGACAATGAGCTACTCCTTGCGTATCACAGTAAGTTATTTTAAGTTAAAAACTCTGATTAAAAATGGGTTCGCTGCTGTTATGGGGTCGCTCAACTAATGCAAATTTAATTAGATTATGGAGTGTTTGCTGACACGCGAGGGAAAAGGACGAGACTTGAAAATATTGACTGGAACAGGGCTCCACTTGAATTCGGTAATTACTTATCGCTTGCTGAACTCTCAAGGCGGGGCGACGGCTTTTTGCTGTAAAGGTTAAATGTTTTTCAAGTGAAAATTCAAAAAATTTTTTTAGTTTATTCTGCTCCGTATCTTTATGTAGTGCATTACGAAACCTTGGAAATTCTACGTGTTGCTGATTACGTGGGACCGGAAACCAGGTAGTTTCTCTTCGCTTCACTTTTATAGCTTAGTGATATTTTTATATGATTGTTCTACACCAGTTTATGCAGCTCAACTAATTAATATAAATCTAGATGTTTGCATGATGAAAGAGAAGTATATAAGTGCCAAAATGCACATTATCTCGGGAAAGGCCGTTCTAGTTCTGAAATTTTATTTGCATTGTGTGGGAAAGATAGAACAGAAGTTCACTGTTTTACGAGACCGCTGCAGGTAACTCGTAAGTGTGATATTCTCCCAAAGCAGGAAATTTAACGTTTTCGGAAATTAGGAGAAACTTGTTTGCTGATAGAGTGTTTTTTCTCTAATAGACGTGAAGTTTGTTCACTTTTTCAGAGGAAGTCACTTCAAGCGACTTTGAAAAGGCGGCAGGCAACAGAAGTTGAGGGAAGTAGCAACCCCGATAAACGTTGTAAGAAGTAAATTTAAATATTTTTCCAGTTTTAAGGAAAGCTGAGACACTTCCAGTAGTTTATTAACTTCTACATCTAATTATTCTTGAAGTCTGCTTAGTTTGCTTAAGTAGGAATCTTGATCGTTTAGTGCACTCGCGCAGCAATAAGAGAAATCCTTTTTTTGCCGACTGGAAGGGAATTAGGCTCTCTCTTCAATAATAGTTTCACTTATAGTTCATGCTCTCAGAGATCGCTTTAAAAGCTGGTCAAATTATTGCTTTATATAAAGAATGTATTGAGTGAACATTTATTTACATCAGTGATGACTGACCGATGTGGCGAATTCCTCATCTAGAATAATGCAAGTGTTGGTAATTAATAATATTCTTTCTTTGCTACTTGCGAACACTAATACTTAATGCTGATTTTGATATAGGCTGTGATTAATAACGTATATCTTGACCCCATTAATCTTGTAGATTTCTGTCGCCACCTTTGCTGTGAAATTCTCGACATCTCTTTCGTTTTTACTTTCAGTAATGATCGAGGCATTTTATTATCAGTTATATATCTAGTAAGCACTTGTACATGATTTTTTGCTTAAGGCTTAGAAGAACTAGTTATTTATATGTGTGTAAAATTTTGGTCTTCACTTTGTAATGTACGTGCTCGGACTTCTTTTTTGTGTGTAATTAAATTTTTTTTCTAATGTAATTGAATTTGTGGCAAATTGAAAGAAGGAGCTGATGTAAATAAAGTTTTTTGAACTGTACTCTTCAGATTTTAAACGTTACTGAAGAGTTAAAGGATGACCAACGAAAAGTCAGGCAGTGTTAATCTTGAAATCTGGGGTTGGCTGCAGCATTTGGGGATAACGAGAACCGAACAATAATGTGGTGCTTAGGAGACATCTATTCATCGGACTCGGCTCAGGTACCTACCGTAATGACTTCCGTGGTTAATCTGAATTTTAGAGGACGGTTTGCCCGACAGTCGGGAATTTTTTGGACGTGAAGCAACTGCTGTTTTCTGGTCGCCAGACAGTTTTGAAATATTGCTGTTTTTCAGTGAGCTAGTCTTTTTCAAAAAACGGTACAGTTTGAACAATCAGAATTGTGTTGCTTGTTGTCGGTTTTA